CCCTAAGATAGGTTGCAATAATGACCCGTACCCATCCCGACGACTGCCATGGTTTTAGCAACAATGTAGTGTTTGATCACTGCATGACCCTCGAGCTCCGCGTCATTTGCCCAAAGTGAATGCTTCGTCCATGCAAATAAGGCCATTGTTTGTCTTGAAGTATACACCCATTGTTTTGTTGGAATAAAGTTGTGCATGTGTCTGTCTGTGTGTATGTGCGGAGTCCAGGGGCACGTGGCTGAATGGCCTAGTGCCCTAGGAGACTAGTCCATCCAGCCGTTCCTCATGGAGGGATTGGGGAAGGACACACACACACACACACACACACACACACACACACACACACACACACACACACACACAATCAATTTTATGTGTGTCAGTCTTTCTTCTGTTGTTTGTTCTCCCCCTGATTTTTTCTAAGTATTTGTTTGTGTGCCGAACTGAGCACCCTTAAGTAGTGCCAAACAGTCGGTGGTTCCTCGTTTGGAGTGCCTACTACACTATTATAGGGGCCGCTTGGTTTGGGGTGTCTGTGTTGCCTGTCGGTGATGACGGATGTTTCTCGGAGTGACTCCCTGGCTCATTGGGTGGTGGGAACCAATAGTCTGCGGGGTTCAATCGTGATGTGAGTAGGTCATGTGCTGCTTTGCTCCGTGTTGGATGTGTGGACGTTCTCGTCTGCGCTCCACCGTTGCCCTGCTGCCTGCCCCTCTTGCTTCGCGTGTGGTTCTTTGCAGGTTGATGTGTTCGCTGTGCTGTGTGGCCGTGTTGTTGGTGTTGCCTTGCGCTTCGCTGCTCCGCTGCCGTGCTGCTCATCTACTGGCCGTACCTTCCGTGTTTTGCCGCTTGTGTGTCCTGTAGGTTGGTTGCCTTGGAGCTGGTGCCTTGTGCTCGGCTCCACGGTTGCCGAGCTGCTGGTCCGCTCGCCCTGTCGTCCCATGTAGTGCTGTTGCCTGTGCTTCACAGGGTTGCTGCCCGCTGCTTTGTTCTGCTTGGGGACGGTCTGCCTTCAACATGGGTCAAAGGGTTCATGACCCAAACCATCAAATACAAAGATTCCACAGATTGTAAGGGTTCAGCCTCCTGATGAGTCCGTGCAACTCCGACGAAACAATCTTTCATTATCAGTTTTATTTTGTTTCAGTCGTTGCCTTGTTTATACTTGTATTTTTTTCGGGTGTTGTTCTTGCATTGTCGTCATTTGTCTTGTTGTTGTTTCCCTTGCGGTTTTACGCTGTTTGCTTGCCCATCCGTCTACCCCATGTCTTCCACCCAGTGTCCTTTGTTGTTTTGTGYTGTTTGCTTGCCCACCCGCCTTCCCCATGCCATCCACCCCATGTGTCGTGCAACCACTCGTTGTCTAATGCCTTGTTGTCATTCGCCTCACCGTGAATTGCCTTTGTGGCCTTCGCATGACATTCCATGGGTATCTTT